GAGGACAGACAGGTGAGGGGAGGACAGACAGGTGAGGAGAGAGGACAGACAGGTGAGGGGAATGTTTTCTCCTCGTGACTCCACTGCAGTTAGAATCAGGTGTTAGCATGAAACTGAACTGGGGTCATTGGTCCGGTTCTCTTTCTACATCAGCTCCCAATGCTAAACAGCTTAGCCTCGTGTGCGAGTAGCATTCAGGTGTTAGCATTGTTGCCTTAACCCTTCCATAAGGTTACCATGGAGACAGTTTGCTATTAGCCGTTAGCACAGACCTGGTCCAGGAACAGGAACTGGTAGAAGGTCTGCGGGATCTCCTCCACTAGGTCCAGTAGTTCCAGATCCGCCTCCCAAGCAGTCAGAGGGGGGGCCGCGGAGAGCAGCAGGGTCAGGCAGACCAGCAGGGACCCGCACAGACCCGCACAGACCCCCATCACCGTTAAACCGTGACAGACACGCAACACTACTCGGTCCGTGGAGCCAACTCAGAGATCCCCGACCCGGGGAAACACCGCCAACCACTTCCGGGTTACTTCTCTGACGTGTTAATGTAACAGCCATCGGTGACAATACTGCCCCCCTCCGACCAACTGTATCACCACGTTCAGGTCTGACCTCAGGCCTAACGATGGTGATGATGACGATAACTAACATGATGGTGATGAAGAAGAAGAAGATGATGAAAGCTCTGGAATCTCCTCCTCTTCATCCTGAGATAGTTGTATTCTCCCAGTTTCACGTCCGTCACGTGTTAGAAACCTGCATTAGCAGACTGGGATGCTTTTATTTTGAAATCCCTCTAACATGCCCAGTTTTTATTTTGAAATCAGTCTAACACACTTGTCCAGCTCGCTTTTCGTTCACTCAGCATCATTATGCCAAAGAGTTCAATTTTGACATTAGATAAAAACTAGATTAAGGGTTAGGGGGTTCATGCCACAGTTACTCTCCAGCTCCTCACACGTCTCACTGCTAACAAACCTCCTTTTCAAAACCTTGGTGTATGTGACCAGGTGAGTCTGACAACCAATAAGGAGACCTGTATTTGCTCTGACACAACACAGAGCTGACATCCCAGACATTCACTTGCATTCCAAAGAATGGAGATATTTTGCAAAAAAGACAAGAAAAACAATGGATAAATGTATTCGGGACGAAACATCCTTGGTGTTACCCAAACCCCAGCACCTGTCCAAGGATGGCTTGTGTGTTAGGAACCAGACAATGTTGGGTTGCTGGATCTTCTATGTCCAACCAGCTTCTGATATTCAAACCCTTACCCCTTCCTTTTGCTCTCCACTCCAAAGTATGTAGTCTTCTGTCTGCATTAGAAGAGTCTTTTTCAGATGCTATTTTTAGTTATACACACCTAGATCAGCCCTAGGCCAATTCTGCAAAGTAATTTGCCCAAAACAAACCATGATACCTTAATGAGTGTCATTTATTCATCATGACAATAATGTTGGGGTATGTACATCACAGAAAGATCGACATGGAGGATTAACTGAAGTAGCCTGACATTGTGTTTGCTGATCTACAGAACAATTTGAATATGGAAACCAATGACAACAACAATTTTCCTCTCATCTTACACCTATAAATAGATAACATTTTCTAAATATTTTTATAAACATGATTTTCAAGATGTGCCTTATTTAGACATACAGTATTATAATCGTGGTAAGATTCTTTATTGTTCTATCTTTAAATAATTTAATAAAAGATTAATATCATGCTGGATGTGCAATGCTTGTTGGTCCATAATCAATAATATATTTCTAAGTAGAAAAAAACACAGCAATGATTGTACATAGGTAAATCAATTACCACAAATGCAAAAGAAAGATCACAGACTTTAACAGAAATACACCCACAGTGACTTCAAGGTAACAGCAATGACTGAAAGTAACAACTCAATAGTTTCACTTTACACTTAGACATTTAAATAAATTGTGTCACTAAGCTTTCTGATTTATTACACAGCAGAGAATGAAATCAGTACAACACACTTATGTAGAGAAGATGCATTTTTCCTTTTTGTTGCTCTTCAGACACATTTTTTGCTTTTGTTGGTAAACTATCTGACTCATATTTCTTTAAATAAAATGTGAGTTCCAGGAAAAGCAGACAACACTATCACATCATGCTTTTCTCTCTGCTGAGAGAATAGAACTAGTATTTATTACCACAGGTTTTACTTTCAGAATAACAAAGACTTGTATCTATCAGAGAAAACACCTTATGTGATCCAGCACATAGCTGCAGGACAATATTAGTTTCTCAGGAGAGGGGTTGGCTACATGCTGAACTGCTTGCACATACATGTATCAAATTTCTTCTAATTTTCTTAACCTGCAATAAAATCGTCTTACTCCAAACGCTGGGTAAAGTTGTCAGGGAACAGTCCTTTTTGAGCAGCAGCTCCAAGTGTTAACCATTCACTTTCTTTGATGCCTGTGAGCCAGCCGGCATCCTGCAACAACAGCAACACAGAAACTCCACAATCAGTTGGGATCATCGTTGATATTCATTCATTCTTTCAAACAGCTTGATGTAATTTAACACATCACTGGTGGTTCTTACCTGATCCTCTACTGAAGCTGTTGGAACTACCAACACAACGTCACCTCTCCTCAGTTCAAGCTCATCTGAATTTGCAGCCTCAAAGTCGTGCATCGTCTCAACCTACAAGGTAAAGCCAACAACTACACCTCTCTCGATTCTTGATATTTTTGCTTATTTGTCACATTTCAATGTTTCAGATAACCCAAGTAATTGTATTATAACATAAAAACAAAGTGAGTAAACTAAACAATCAACTACCTTATAAAGAAAATCTTCAGGATGACTCGATGTTGCACCAGATGGACTCATGTGTTTGATGGATTTATTTTGACCATCGTCATTGATGACAGTGGGAGAGATGATGTCAACGTCCCGGTCGTCATCACCTTCATTACTGGAGGCAGGTTCAATCACCACTGAGGGGATGGGCATATTTTCCTGTGGAGGACAAAAAAACCTTTATTAATAATCCTTTTCTTTCAAAAACACACATAATTTATTAAATCTGTTCAGTGTTCAGAGAATTGTATTCTTTATTTTCAGCAAAGGAAG